GAATACCACCCATAAGTAATGAGCTCCTTTAAAAAATTATCTATATGAGACCAAAAGGTTAAAAAAACAAACAAACAAAAAAAAACAAAACCAAAAAAAACCACCACAACAAAAAAAATTACAGCAAAGATGAGAAGGTAAGAAGGCAGGGAAACTAGAGTACTGGAAATAGTACAACTAGAATGGAATGAATGAGAATGACACCAGTGAAAAATGTAACCAATATCACTGAATAATTTGTGTATAAATGATTAAATGGGAACCTAATTTGCTGTGTAAACATTCACCTTAAACAGAATATTATTGAAGAAGTAAGAGGAGGAAGGAGGAGGAAAGAGGAGGAAGGAGGAGGAGCAGGAAGGAAAGAAGAGGGAGAAGGAGGGAAGAGGAGGGAGAAGGAAGAGGAAGGAGAAGGAAGAAGAAGACGACTGTGATGTGCCTTACAGAGAAAATAGGTGTTTTAGATAAGCTTTGTTCAACCTTGAAATGCTGTTGGCCATGAGTTCAATGTTAATGAATCAACAATGTATATTAAATAAGGTGTCTTTAAACAGGAATAATAATAAAACAAGGTTAAATACTGGAGGAAAAAAAAACAAACTATGACCAAGTGGGATTTCTCCCAGGAATTCAAGTGTGGTTCAACATAAGAAAATCAATCTGTGTAACAAATCACGTTAATAGAATGTAGGAGAAGAATCACATGATCATCTCAATAGATGCAGTAAAGGCATTTGACAAAATCCAACACACTTTCACAATAAAAAACCCTCAACAAACTGAGACTAGAAGGGAAATCCTCAACATGATAAAGGTCATTTATGAAAAACCCACGGCAAACATAGTCAATGGAGAAAGACTGAAAACTTTTCCCCCAAGATTAGCAACAAGACAAAGAAGCCCACTTTCACTGCTGCTATTGGACATTGCACTGGAAACTCTAGCCAGAGCAGTTAGGCAAAAAAAAAAAAAGAAAAAGAAAATAGTAATAATAAAATATATCCAAATCTGAAAGGAAAAAGTAAAACTATATTTGCAGATGACATGATCCCATATATAGTAAATTCTAAAGAATTCACAAGAATGCTACTAGAACTAGTAAGCAAATTCTATATACCAGCAATGAACAATTTCCAAAAAGAAATTAAGAAAATAATTCCATTTAAAATTCCATCTAAAATAATTCCATCTAAAAGAATAAAATACCCAGGAATAAACTTAATCAGGGAGTGAAAGACTTGTATGCTAAAAATTATAAAACACCGCCAAAAGACAGTAAAGAAGGCCTAATAAACGGAAATTAAATAACATCCCATATGAAAGGATGCTCAACATCATTAGCCATTTTAAAAAAAGCTGTTGTTGAGTCAATTCCAACTCATGGCAACACCACTATGTGTCAGAATAGAATTCTACTCCACAGAATTTTTGATGGCTGTGATCTTTCAGGAGTAGATTTCCAGGCCTTTATTTTGAGGCACCTGTGGGTGGACTCAAACTGCCAATCTTTCAGTTAGTAGCTGTGTGCCTAATCATTTGCACCACCCAGGGATTCCTCATTAGCCATTAGGGAAATGTAAGTTAAAACCACAATGAAATAATAGCATTTACAACACCAAAAACATCAACTACATAGGCCTAAATCTAACAAAAGCATGCAAAGCTTCTACATTGAAAAAATATAAAAATTGCTTAAATTATAGAGACCTATATTATTATTATTATTGATAATATATTATCGATATATAGTAAGTCATATATATAATGCTGTGAAAATTAGCATAGCATACTTAAAAAAATACTTCGTGGGTGGAGAGTGAGGTTGGCAAACAAATTTTTTTTGTGTGTGGTAATTGAAAAGAATAATTCAAAGATGTATATGAAGATGCCAAGGTCCTAGAAGAGTAGTGTCAATTTTGAACAGGAAAAACAAAGTTAGAAAAATGTACTGCCAGATACCAATACTTACTATAAACTTATTTTCATTACAAACATTTGGTATTGGTGGAAGAATAAACAAACAGTGGAACAATACAACAGAAAAGATAGTCCAGAAATAGACCCTCATATATATGGTCATCTGATTTATCATAAAGATACCACTGCAACCCAAGAGGGAGAAAGATGGGTCTTTTCAGTAAATGATGGTGGATAAGTTATATATTTTTATGGAAAAATAATTTTGACCCCTACTCCATATCATACATAAAAATTAATTTTAGATGCATTGTAGACTTAAAAGTGAGAAGTAAAACAGTTGATATTTGGAGGAAAATATCTTTATGACTTTGGGTTAGGAAAATAATTCTAAAATTGGGCACAAAAATTACTAATTATAAAGGAAAAGACTGATCAATTATTATTTATCAAAAATAAAAAAGAACATCAAGAGAGTGAAAAGATAAGCTGCAGACTGGGAAGATATTTATAATGCAAATATTTCAAAAAGACATTGAATACAGTATAAAGAATCCTACAAATCAACAAGATGATAGAGAGCCCAATAAAAAATGACCAAATGACTTCAACAAGCATTTCACAAAAGAGGATATTCAAAAGGCCAGAAAGTATCTGAAAAGGGGCTCGACATCATTAGCCACTAAGAAAGTGCAAATTAAACCTAAAACAAGATACCAGTACAAAGTAGAACTAATCTTTTGCTCCTTACCCTTCCATTTAAACTGCTGTAGTCAAGGTGGCCTGTGTCATGCATCGCGTAAACCATTGGGCACTTTGCATTTCTTACCTTGCCTTAGGTCATTTGATCCTGCTGACCATTCCTCCTCCCCTTCTGGAAGTGCTTGGATTTGAGGGGGGGTATGAAAGATGGGGTTGCAGGTGTGGTGAGTAGTAGGAGGCAGAGGGAGCAGCCATTAGAGTTGGTATCTAGCCATGTCAACTGTTTGACAGAAGCTTCAGGGTATTATTTCATGGTCTGACCCTCAAACTTTCCATTCAGAAAGTGGCATGTTAACTATATCCAAAGTGGATGTGACTCTTGGTAATAGTTAGCAAATTTCAGTACTAAAATTTAATCAGAAATTGTAATTTTAACCACAATGTCAAATTATTCATTTATAATGGGAGATAGCTCATATTATTTACCCAACATTACCTACTCAATATTAAATACTTATCTGGCACTGTGGGAGAGGTATCTGATCTTTCCTTACCTCCCATGCCTTGTCTTTTTTGGACATCAGGTGTGTGGTCTGTTATGGCCTCTGGTCTAAGAGTCACAGCCTCTGGGCTCTCGTTTTGATTACAGAATTCTTGTAGTCCTCCCAGGACTTCCGAGTCCCCATTTATGGGCTTGGGAGCTCTTGACTGTTTACCCTCTCTACACTTCATCATGCAAGGTTTTGTGAGACTGCACACCAGACCCATCTGCCAAGACAACTCCTTTAGCTGCTGTGATCTTTGTGTGCCACTGAAAGGGGAACTTCTCTATAAGGCTTGTGATCTCCTGGTCTATAGCTTGGACATCTTGGGCATTTTTCATTCATCTTGAATTTCCATCATCTTTGTCTGCATCCTCTTTCAAATGAAACACAAGAAGTAAAGGGAATGAGGTGCTGGGTACCTTCTTTATAATCTAGGCACCATCGGAACCAATTCCCATGTTCTCGGATCCACAGACCTACCCAGTATACTGCAAACCCAGTACTTAGGACAGTTCCCGACACATAGTAGGCACCTAATAAATTAGCTTCACAAGGAAAACAGGCTTGTTTTTTTCCTGTTTATGTAAATATAACATGTACATTGCAAAGAAAAACTTAAAAGTACAAAAAAGAAAGTCAAACAAACAAAACACACTAGATAATCCACCAGCCCTGAAACAGCCTTCATTATTTTTTTGGACCATCCCTTCATTTACCTCTCAAAAGTACACACAAATATATAAGTTTACATAAAGAGTTTTATACCATATGTGATGCACTTAGATTTTTCTCTTTTCACAGTCTTTTTTTTTTCTTATCTCCTCATATCCCATTTTCTCCCTCCCACCAAGGTAATCAATATTAACAGCCTGGTGTATATTCTTCCATACTTGTCTCCATACTCATCTAATCACCTATGCACATAGATACATATATAGGCATGGTCATTATTTTAACAAAAATGAAATATTTTATATATGCATCTTTGTAATAAAGCAATTATTTATTGATACATTGAGTAAATCCCTGGAAGTCAATTAGTATAGCTCTCATTTTTAAGTGATTCTCATGCTAATCCATACTATGGATACATCACAATTTACTCAACCATTACCCTATTGATATGCATTCATTGTTTTCCCAGAGATTTTTTCCCTCTACAAGCAATATTTCAATAAACATATTTATTTATATGTATTCTTATGTGTTGATTTTATTTTTATGAGACAAATTCCCAGAAGTGAGACTGCTGGGTAAAAGGGTATGTATATTTATAATTTTAAAACATATATATCGCTGGGTTTCTGGTGAAAATATAAGTTGGTACAATCTTTCTGGGAAGAATACATGGTTCCTCAAACTCCACTAACAAAAGATCTCTTAATTTTTGTCAACTCAAGAGGTGAAAATGACATCCCATTGGTATTTTAATTTGCATTTCCCTGAGTACTATTTAGGTTGGAAATCTTTTCATGTGTTAATAGAATTGTGGAGTTGCTTTTCTATGAATACCCATCAAGTCCAGACGAATTAAAGATCAATGTAAAAAATAAAATTATCAAAATCTTGGAAGCTTAGGGGACTACGCATAACCTTGGAGAATACTAAATATACCATGGACTGCCAAAAGAACTGCCATGGAGCCCTGAGGGTGCAGTGGTTAAGCGCTGGGCTGCTAACCCAAAAGGTCAGCAGTTCTAATCCACCAGCTGCTCCTTGGAAACCCTATAAGGCAGTTCTACTCCGTCATATGGGGTCGCCATGAGTCAGAATCGACTCAATGGCAATGGGTTTGGTTTTTTGGGCCAGAAGAACAAACAAATCAGTCCTGGAGGAAGTATAGCCAGAATGCACCTTAGAAGTGAGGATGGCGAGACTTACTTACTTACTTGCTTACTTTGGATCAGGAAAGACCAATTGCTAGAAAAGGATATCAGATGGTCAGTAAATGGAATGGATTGACAAAACAGCTGCAACAATGGGTTCAAACATACCAATGATTCTGTGGATGATGCAGGATTGGGCAACACTTTGTTCTGTTATACACAGGGTCACTATAAGTTCGGAGTGAACTCGACAGCAACTAACAACATGTATAACCTAGGGATTAAAGAGACCCTTTTTACTAAAAGAGTAAAGAATATAAAAAGGAAAAAATATATTTTACTATACAAAGTAAAAATATTTTGTGAGCTACTTTGCTGTATAAAAAAAGTATAAAGTCAAATTCTAGATTAAGAAAAACATCTGCAGTACACGACAAAGGACTAATATCTAAAACAGAGAAACATCTTCAGATTGATGAGAAAAGACAGAAACCAATAGAAAAATAGCAAAAAAAAGAAAAAGAAAAAGTATAGGCAATTCATAGAAGATAATTTGTTGAATAAATAAAGTAAGAAATCTGGATGAAGGTTTTCATTTGTCCATTTTTTTTTTCTAGTGTAACTCTTTTTATAGCCTCTAGGATTTAATTTGACCACTTTCCCATATTCATTATGTTTACAGGGTATCTCTTCAATGTTATTTCTTGGTGAATTGCTCCTGAAGATTTCCCCACATTCATGAAATATAAAGTTTATAGAATTCTTCTTGTGGAGTTGACATCTGGATGAATGATTTATTGTTCTCTATATTAATTGAGCTTCTCTCTGGTGTATTCTTTGATGTACAGTAAGGCTTGAGCTACTCCTAAAGGCTTTTCCACATTCGTTACATTTGTAAGGTTTCTCTCCAGTATGCATCCTCAGATGTACAGTAAAGTCTGAGTTAGTTCTGAAAGCTTTTCCACAATCTTCACATTTATAGGGCCTCTCTCCGGTATGGATTCTCTGATGTAGAGTTAGCTGTGATAAGGTAATACAACCTTTTCCACATTCCTTACATGTATAGGGTTTTTCTCCAGTATGTGTTCTCCAATGCACTGTAAGGTATGAACCTCTCCTGAAGGCTTTTCCACAAACATCACATTTATAAGGTTTCTCTCCAGTATGTATTTTCTGATGTTCTGTAACATGTACCATCTGGCTAAATGCTTTCCCACAGTCACTACATTTAAATGGTTTCTCTCCAGTATGTGTTCTCTGATGGGTATTAAAGCCTGAGTTACTTGTGAAAACTTTCCCACATTCATTACATTTATACGGTTTTTCACCAGTATGCCTTCTTTGATGCACAGTAAGCTGTGATGTATTTGTGAAAGCTTTCTCACACTCATTACATTTATAAGGTTTTTCTCCAGTATGTGTTCTCTGATGTACAATAAGGTATGACTTTGTCCTGAAGGATTTTCCACAATCGTAACAATTATAGGGTTTCACTCCAGCATGAATTTTCTGATGCTCTTTGAGATTTACCATTTTGGTGAATGCCCGCTCACACTCAGTGCATTTATATGGTTTCTCTCCAGTATGAATCCTCTGATGTACAGTTAAGTGGGATTTTATTCTAAAAGATTCCCCACATTCATTACATAGATAAGGTTTCTCTTCAGTATGAATTCGCTGATGTATAATAAGAGATGAAGAACGCATGAAGGCCTTTCCACATTCATTACATTTATATGGTTTCTCTCCTGTATGCATCCTGTGATGTACAGTAAGGCATGAATAATTAATGAATGCTTTCCCACATTCATTACATTTATAGGGTTTTTCTCCTGTATGAATTCTCAGATGTTCAGTGAAATTTGCTATACGGTTGAATGCTTTCCCACATTCATTACATTCATAGGGTTTTTCCCCAGTATGAGTTCTTATATGTACAGTAAGGCTTGAGTTACTTCTATAGGCTTTACCACATTCATTACATCTAAAGGGTTTTTCTCCCGTATGAATTCTCTGATGAACATTAAAAATTGTGGTATTCTTGAAAGATTTTCCACAGTCATTGCATTTATATGGTTTCTCTTCAGTATGCGTCTTCTGATGTACACTAAGATATGACTTATTCCTAAAGGCTTTCCCACAATCATTACATTTGTAAGGTTTCTCTCCAGTGTGAGTTTCCTGATGTCTTAAAAGTTTTGATTTATCACTAAAAGCTTTCCCGCACTCACTACATTTATGGGGCTTCTCTCCAGTTTGAATTCTCTGGTGCTGATTAAGGCGAGCACACTGGCTAAAGGATTTTCCACAGACATTGCACTGATAAGGTTTCTCTTTAGTATGAATTCTCTGATGTACCATAAGAGATGAAGAAGCAATAAAGGCTTTTCCACATTCATTACACTTATAGGGTTTTTCTCCAGTGTGAATTTTTTTATGTTGACTAAGATATGAAGGTTGGCTGAACATTTTCCCACATTCATTACATTCATAAGGTTTTTCTTTAGTGTGAGTCCTCTGGTGTTGAATGAGTAATGACCTGTAACGAAAGGATTTTTCACACGTACTACATTTATAGGGCTTTTCTTTATAATTAGTTTTCTTTTCGAAAGTAAGTTCTGAAGTATGCCTTATGGCTTTGCTGCCTTCAGTATCCTTGCAGATTTTCTTCTCCAAATGGGTATCTGCAATCAAATTCTCTGTGAAACTGTCTTCATGTGTTTCACATTTGCTGTGGGGCTCCTCTGTGATAACTTCTGGCTCTGGAAAAAGAACAGATCCAAACCTAAAGCCTCTTTGACCAGTGGGAGTGTTCTTATGTGTAACTATTTTTTTATTTAAATGACTCTCCTGATTATTTTGCAATCTCAATATCCTGTCATTCCATTTCCATGATCTTCCCAAACTGAAATCCCATAGGCCATTCTCTTTGAGTTTCTCTACTATGGTTCCCTGTGATAAGTCTTCTTCAGAATAATCCTCTGTGAGTACAACATCCTTGGTTGCTAGTTTGGTCTCCAACTCTAGGGAAAAAAAGAGAAAAATCAAATTACTCCTATTGTCTATTTTGGGAGATTTCACTAAGCAGAATAATAAAAGGGAAAATTGGACTATAATGAATACATAGCTTCAAATGCTTGTAAATTGTCCTTGTTTTCTAAGAAGAAGGTAGGGCTAAGGGAAACTGGTTGAGCAAACAACAAAAGTAGTATATTCAATGAGATTTTTCCTTATTAGATAAAATATATTCATGATAACCCTCCTGGAATTTAAGTCTCTCAAATATTTTTTCCTTGTATCACTCCCTTTAGAGCGAAGTTTCTTTAGAAACTGTCCTTCATAGGTTGTCATCACTTCCTTGCTTTCCATTTACGCATTTCTACCCATACATACTTTCTAATTGTTCTGTGTTGACCAGCACCTCTTTGTGAGGGTTTTCTCAAATTTCTCTGGCAGAGTATCTTATTCAGGTCTTTGTACTTACCTTTTTATAGAACTTTTATGGAAGAAGACAATTTGTGTTTCAAAAAGTGGACTGAATGACAAGCGGACCAAAATAATATTTATAGTTAATGATGTTTCAAATAGTGATAATTATTGGTTATCAAGGGTAGCTCTGTAACATTTTATTAGCCTTCAGAACTTTTCTGTTTAAAAAAATTATACTGTGGGGTGATCTTACGACTTGTTTGTATATGCGGTTTAACTGTTTTTTTTTTAAAAATACATTTATAATTTTTCAAAATTTCATATTCATTTTGAGGTAACTATGCCTAAAATGTTTAAAAATAAATTGGATCAAAATCATTTGTGGATGTACTAGAATGGTTTTATGACTTTAAAACTAATTATTGAGTAATATATTTTATGTAAGTTATTTTGATTAAAATTTAAATTCCTTTTCTGTCACAATGTTGCTGTTATTTTTAATCATTAAAAGTAAATAATTTTATTGCTGTAGGACATTATACTGCCAGTACCTGATGAATTTTTTTTTCCTGTCAGAATAGAAGCTATAGAAAACACATCTGTAACTCCAATGTGGAACTTAGGAATTAATGAATTTAAAATGTAAAAATAAAATGAATTTGGAAGGTAGACAAATTTGCTTTAAAATTCACTAAATTATAAAATATCCTTAGGGTGTAGAAAAGTTACTGTTTTATTAACTAGCAATTAGAAATGTTCGGCTTTAACAAGCATACTTTCAGAAACTTCACTAACACATGTGAGCTAAAGCCTCATCTTTCTTGAGTAGAAGTAAAATGTCATTCACAAATAACAAGAAGAATAAGAAATAAAAATAAAAATTTTAACATTTGAGAGAATTGCACTTTAGTAATGCCAAACTGGGTAATTTAGATGAACATTACTGCTGAGAACAATTAGAAAAGTTGGGGAAAATAAAGAAATAAATTCTGTAGGATTTTGAGAGTTATCAAGGCTTTAAAGAATTACAAGGCGAAGGAAACCCAAAGAGGGAAACTTCCCTAAAGGTATCTCCTAAGTCTATTAAAAAAATGGCTGATAGGCTTAATAAGTGAACAGAACTTCCAACAGACTCACAGATTTGAATGCAGGGTCACCAAAGAGAGGAACCCTGCACTTCCCAGGGCTTGGCTGGCACCTTGAAGTTCTATGCCCTAAGAATAAGGAAAAATAGGAAATAGACCAAGTCACTCAAGGACTGAAACCCAGTTTATTTAAATTTGTAATTGAACTAAGATGACTGAGGATTGTTACAGCTCACAGCCTAAACACCTGCCAAAAACAAACATTAATCTTCTATAGAAGAAAATTACATAACCCAGATCCTCAAATTATGGCTATAGGTTTTCATGTTTAATGCCTGATACCTCATCAAAAATAAACAGGCATACAAGGAGACAAAAATCACATGAAAGAAAACCAAGAGAAAAAACAGGTAATAGAAACAGACCTAAAAGGGATCTAGATAATTGAGGTCTCAGACATGGACTTTAAAATAACCACGATTACTACATTCAAGAAAATAAAATATGCTCTTCCCCGAAGATGGCAACATAAGTAGTCTAACATCTCCATTCCCCACACCAATTTAGAAAAGAAAGAAAAGGGTACAATGTGGTGGAGCTGATGGACTTGGAGCTCTAGCAACCACTCCAAGAAACAGCTGAAGGCAGAGGGACAAGCAAGACTACAAGGAAGGAGAATCTTTCTCTCCATCACTCATGAGAGTCTCTCTTGCCCTGCCCCCATGTAAACCAGGAGCCACACTGCAAAATGCAGGCAGTGAATTGGCTCCTTAGGGATAGGAAAGCGATAGAAGAATATGGCTTTTGATGAAGTTCTTGCTACTTCAAACTTTTAATATCTTTTTGACAGCAGCCAGAAAAATGGATCCATAGGAAGAAACCAGTCCCTTCCACTCCTACAAGATAGGAAAATCTTTCTCTCCATTGCTTACAAGAGCACCCTCCTGCCCTGCCCCCAAGTAAACAGTGAGTGGTGGGCAGAAGCACTGAGAAATACAGTAACTCAGCTCTCTAGGACTAGGAGAGTCATAGAGGAACTTAACTTGCTAATGGTCCACTACTTCAAAATCTTAATATTGTTCTGGGAGCAGCCAGGAAAATGGGTCCACAGGGAGAAACTCGCCCCCTCCCATTCACACAAGAAAATCTTTCTCTCCATTGCTTCCAAGATTCCCTCCTGCCTTGCCCCTAAGTAAATAATAAGCGGTGGGTGAGGTGCACCATGAAACACAAACTTTGCATCAGTTCCCTAGGGCTAGGAGAGCTGTAGAGAAACTTAACTTGCTGATAGTTTGCTACTTTAGGCCCCCAAAGACTTAAAACTTCCCCATACAAGGAAAACCTGTGGAACAGATCAGAACCTGATATCAACAAAGTATCTGAGGATCCACCACAGAAGAGGGGATCAAATCTCCCCAAAATGGCTGAGTCAGTGCTGGGAGAACTAAAGGGCCAGAATGTCCTCTTGTGGAATTTAGGGGGAAAGGTAGGAAACAAATGAAAAAAAAGAAAAAAACGTAGTCCCTGGGGAAAAAGAAAAGTTTGAGTTCCAGAATTACCACAAGAAAATATTAAAATAACTCAATTTCACACACACACACACACACACACACACACACACATATATATATACATACACGCACATATATATATAAGGTATACAAGAACACAGGAGAAGATGAGCCAATTAAAAGAACATTTTGAAGAATATGAAATTAGTTCTATGGGGGCCAGGATAATAGGAAAAATAGAAGACTTTGAAACAACAATGTTAAATATGTTCAAGGAATGCAAAGAACACATAGACAACAAACTAATGAAGATAGGAAATAAAATGAGAAACTCAATAAAGAAAGAAATCAAATAAAAGAACCAAACAGAAATACTAGAATTGAGGAATAAAATAACTGAACTGGAAAATGTAAGGGAGGGATTCAACAATAGCTTTGAGCAGACAGAAGACAGTGTAAGTGAACTAGAGGACACGGTAACTGAACTTCTCAAGTCTCAAGAGAAACAAGAGAAAAGAAAAGCAAACAAAGCCAAATGGAATTGTGGGACACAATCAAGAAATCCAACATAGGATCATGGAAATCCCAGAAGAAAAAGACAGAAAGAAATGGACAGAAAAACAAAAACCACTCTAAGATATAATGACAGAAAAAATTCCAGATCTGAATAAGAAGTTGAACCTGCAAATCCAGGAAGCTAACAGAGTGAATCTACACCAAGACAAATAAAACCCTGAAGGCAAGGAGGCAATGGAATGACAAATATAAAGTACTGAAGGGAAGGAATTGTCAACCAATAATTCTTTACCTAGCAAAGTTATCCTTCAAAAATGAAGGTAAAATCAAGATATTCCCAGATAAACAAAAGTTGTGGGAATTAGTTACCACCAGACCCGCTTTGCAAGAATTACTAAAAAAACAAAAACCAAACCCGTTGCTGTCTAGTTGATTGTGACTCATAGCGACACTATAGGACAGAGAACTGCCCCATAGGGTTTCCAAGGAGTGCCTGGTGGATTCAAACTGCCAGCCTTTTGGTTAGCAGCCGTAGCACTTAACCACGATGTCACCAGAGTTTTGAATTACTAAAGGGAGTCCTTATGATGGAAAGGGAAGGTCACTAGACAGATAATCAAGGCTGCAGATGGGAAAGAAATTAAAAAATAAAAGAGAGCTCTCCAATAATGGTAATGGCATGGGCAAAAAAAAAAAAAAAAAAAAAAAGGCCAGTTGTATGCTGTTTCCAGTGGTAAATTTAGTAGTTAAGTTCTACAAGAATTATAACATTAAATATGTAAGAAATCAGTTCAAATGCAACCTAACGGATACAGGATGCATAATGATGTAATTGGTGTCACAACTACAGAGAGGGTAGAGGGAGGAGTAAAATAGAATAGAGTCATAGTATGTTAATGTTGTATGTTACTTGTTTGTATGTTAAATGTTGGTATCAAGCTAAAATAAGTTGTTGTATATGTAAATAGTTAAATGTAATTTTTGTGATAAACACTAAGAAAATATTTTGAAAATATAAGCAGAAGGGAAGAAGGAAGAAATAAAAAAAAAAGACTCAGCATAAAAAAGCAACTAAATATAAAAAATAATAAAAGCATAGGAATTGTGGGACAAAGAAGATACAAGACACACAAAAAACCATTAGCAGAATGGAAGAAGTACTTCATTTTCAGTAATTAAATGTAAATGCTTTAAACTCTCCATTCAAAAGGCAGAGAGTGGCAGAATGAATAAATTAAAAAAATATGCTCCATCCATATTCTGTCTATGAGAGACACATCTTAGGCCCAAGGACATAAAAAAACTGAAAGGATGGAAAAGAATATTCCATGCAAATAATAACCAAAAGAGAGCAGGGGTGGCCATACTGATATCAGACAAATAGATTTTAAATAAATATCTGCTATATGAGATGAAGAAAGATATTATATAATAATAAAAGGGTCAATCCATCCAGAAAACATAATAATTACAAACATATAT